TCTCGTCAATTTTTTTTTAAATTTGCAATGCATATTATATATTTGTATTCATTTATAATTTTTTTATTAAAAAAATTAATTTTTTACTAAGATTGTTAATATGAAGTATGCTCCGCCGCCGGAAAATTTTGTAAAAATCGGTAAGTGATATCTTGTCTTTATTTTATCTGATAAAAAACTAAAAGTATATTATAAGAATTTTTTCTACGGGATGAACCTCTCGATAAAAAAATTCTAAAAATTGCCGAAGTTAGCTTAGCGAACACAAAACACAAATTTTTTTTACTTTTCTTTATCTGTGGAAGTGTTTAAAAAAATGTTTAAAATTAAAAAAGTCAGCAGCCTTACAAATTGACTACCAGCAGAAATTTATTAACGAAATCTCTCGAATCCGATTGGATAATTAGTTCTCGAGGTCAAAGTGTTTACTGACTTTGAAAACGTCGTTTCGAGACAAACGCGTTTAAAGTCATCCGGTTTTCTTAGGGGGAAAACTTAGGAAGAAGGTTGAAAAAAAATTGAATTTTTTTTTCATAAATCAATAGTCTGTAATATATAGAACAAAATGTCAAAGCTATAGAACTGAATTCGAAAATTTAAGACAGCTATTAGTGACGACGACGTGTTGTGCGACCCGCAGGTATGCGTCGCCCTTATCAGATCCTTTCCTCGAAAAGAACAACAGGCGGCTTTGTTACTACATTTTGAGGAAGAAGAAGGATTGATGTACGGACCTGGCAGATTAGCATAAAACAGCTGTAAATTTCCAAAAAATATTATTTTCTCTATCAAAAAATTACGTGTTTTTCTCGAACCGATAATTTTTGAGCAGCGTGGAATGTAGCTCAAACAATTTTTAAACAACGAACTTCTTCTTGTGTACACATATTCTATAGCCTCTCTCTTCTTCACAGCATGAATCTATTTTTACATACAGTGAGTACAAAAAGTATTCGTACAGAGGAAATATTTTTTAAAAAAAACTTTATTTAAAAAAAATAAATATTCAGCGAGAAATGAAGTGATATCGAATCGATATAAATTCGATGATTTTAACATCAATTTGATGACGTTGATTAGACGTTTAATTAACGTTTAATTAACATTTCTTGTTGGATAATTAACAATTTATTCATAAAGAATAAAAGACTGTATGTTTTTTAAAATTATATATACCAAAATGATGTGTATTAATTATACAAAATATATTATCCGAAAAATAAACAAAAATTAAAAATTGTATTGTTTGAATGGTCAAAAAGTATTCATACAGACGAGAGATTTAACTTCTAGAATCAGGAATACATGCTAAGCTCGTTTGTTTATATTAGAATGTATTCATTGTATAAAATTGTTAATTAATGTTTATTTTCTACAAATAAGGCTTTTTTTATAACAAATTTCTTTGTACAAATACTTTTTGCTCTCACTGTAAATGTTTTTGAAATAAACAATTGTTTTTTTTTTAGTACTTTTTGTTTTAAAACGCAACTTTTTTTTGGAATGTTAATATTTTTTTAGTTTAGCCTTTTTTAATTTAAAAATAGGTTCATGTTGAGCGTATATTCATTAACTAATATTATTATTTTGAATTTTTCATTTCAGGTAAAAACAGCAGTTCCTACATTCCACGGCGCGAAA